TGCTGCCTTCCTCATTTTAGACTCAGAATGAAATACAGTATAATGCAATGCTGGACGAGAAACGGATCAAAATAGATTACACATTTTCTTTAAAGCTTCAAAGCTCAGTTTTTGATTTTAATCAACCAGTCGGTTGTGATCTCTGCACTGGAACAATGACATCTGTACAGTTTGGTTAGTTTTTGTCTACAGAAAATCAAATCAAATTTTATTTGTATAGCGCCAAATCACAACAAAAGTAATCTCAGGACACTTTACAAAGTAAGGTCTAGACCTTACTGTTATCAATATTATTACATAGGGAAAACCCAACAAATCCCTCTTGAGCAAGCACTTGGCGACAGTGGGGAGGAAAAACTCCCTTTAACGGAAGAAACCTCCGACAGACCCCGGCTCTTGGTGGGCGGCCTTCTGCCTCGACCGGTTGGGGTGAGTGGATAGAGGAGAGACAAAAGAAGAAAAGCAACAAGACACAACAATCAAACACTGATCAGGTCGATAAATTAACTGGTAAACAATGTCTTCAGACACTACAACCACCCTGACAAAGAAATTTCGGGTTTGAAGGTGGTGAATCCTCAGTTTTAGTCTGGATCAACATTAGACTCATGTGAGTCCTATACCACAACTCAAATATCATGATATACAGCAGTTCTGAAAAGTCAAACCTCTGACCACTGTCGGGAAAACGGCAACTTGTACAATATATTACCTTACTGGTTGAAAGTAAGACAATTACTTCAAAAGAAGTTCAACATCCAGTAGTGTAGAGAGAAATAAACTGAAAACAGCTGCTTTGTTTTGTTTTTACCTATTTGATCTCCATCCTTTCTAATGACATCCTAATTCTGTATTTCTATGTTTTTATATCTCCTTATTAGTCTTGATTGTTTACTTGCACAATTTTAATGAGGCACTGAGTCTTCTGAGTTTAAAAGAAATGCCATCTCTTCTGATGGTAATGATACCGCGTGCAGCAAAGGAAGTGCTTAAAGCTGGGGACAGTGAACATCACTACACAAGCACCGAGAGGTTGTGCACAAGCCAACAGTTTCGTTCACAGGTCAAACCAAAAGTCAGCACACCTGAAATGTTTAATAATCACCAATTCCACAGAGGGAAATGTCCTTTTAATACAGGGGGTCAAAGTTAAAGCAGGATTTTGGACAATTATTCTGCTGTTGACCTTTGTCTTCTTTTTAAAACATATTTGGCTCTGTTTTCTTTTTTGTTTGAAACCTCACTTTTCTTGTCTGACTTCTCTATAACAACACTGCCATCATCCCATCACAGACACAGATAGAAATGATTGGTATGATCCAGAGTCTTATTTTCACAGAACTACAAAATTTCTTTTTAACCTTTAAATCACCTATAAAGCATTTCTATGTGCACTGATCGGATGGGTGATGCAGCAGTCAGTGGCCACCACGGCTGTGCCTTTCTGAACAACTAATAAATCCAGTAGAGGAACTGGGGAGCATGGCCTCTTCTGTCTTTCTGCAAATGCCACCAACACAGTGATCATCTGGCAAACAGAACACACTCTTGCCCTTTTTCCACTCAGCTGTCTATTAAAAGGAAAACATGTGGTCGAGTGTCTTGTTTCAGGGAAAGTGAAAACACACACCCGCTGAGGTACACAGGGGAGCAGAGGAGTCAAGCATGTTGTGACTCAGAGCGGCTTTCCCCTTCCTTTGTACCACACTGCTGCACTCCGCATCGCCGCATAGGGTAGGGGTAAGTGGCCCGACGCCCTCCCTACCGTCACCAGCCAGAACCACACACCCCCCACCCCACCCAAGAAAATCAATCAGTATCCAGGTCAGGCTACAGGGATGCCCCCCTTTAACACATAACCTCTGACCCTGCAGGCTTCTCCTCAGACAGCATGACAGAGATTTGTGTGTGCAGCCAGTGCCAGCTCCGTGTCCGATGTTAACAAAGTCCTCGTGTTGAGGGGAGGAGCGTGGCTTGACCCTGTCCACCTTGACACAATAAATCCAACTGAGGAGTTCGAGGTGGCCTGACCTGCATCTGACCCAGTCTGTGGAAACGAGTTCCAGCTGAGCCCCCTCTTCATGCCCCAGAGCTGAAGGGAGAAACAGAGGATGCACCAGGGTGTAAGGCAACACATTTATTCCCTCATTTCACTTCACCCAACACTGTGACATATGAACAGTTGGGAAGCCTTGTTTCTGTCACAGGAAGTACAATGTGGGGGCAGAATTAGCATAGCATAATTACACTGGGGAAAGATCCCGACTCCAAGGAGCAAGACATAACCCATAATTTGTCATTATGCTCCCTGTGCAATTGACAGTCAGTCTATGATAGTGGAGATAAATGTCGGAATTCAGGCTGTTAGTTTAACTGATGGTGCATTCAGTATGATAATAACCACAGTCTTGCACACAGTGAATCTGATGAGCAGTCCCGCAATAGCTCTTCACCATCTTCCCTCCCCTCCAAGAGGTATTATCATGCTAATCTAAACGAGAAAATGAAAAAAATACATTTCAGTCAATGAGGGAGTATAAAAGGAAGCAGGGACCTCTGCAACCACAGGCAGACAAAGGAGGGTATATTCACCCAGCTTCGCCTCAGCAAAGCAGGGTGACAAATGGACACAGACATTATGCTGCCTGGTTAATTAAAAGAACATAGCCTAA